CTGAGTAGACATTTTCAAACCGCACATCGATCAGCTGTATCGAACGCACCCTAGAGGTGGAGGAACACGACAACGGTGGGTCGCCAATATATATGATGGCGTTCCAACAATTGATACAAAGTAAAGAAGCGATCGATGCAGCCCCGACGTCGAGGAAACCCGGCTTGCTTCTCAGAAATCTGGCTTTCACGGTCGGCAGTCAGTCTGTGAAGGAAGGCAGAAGCAAGCAATTTGGAGGCGATGGGAATCAGAATGATTCCTCTATGGTTGCCGCATTCTGAACGTAAGTAACCGTTGGAGATGGGAATAATAACGGAACGGCTCCAGTTGGTTGGGACAGTTTCTTGCTCCCACAGTTTCACTAGTAATTCGAGTAAATTATCAACAACAGCACATCCCTCTAATGTGAAGTGGGTTGGATTATCCGATCCAGCGGCCTTTTCGACCTTCGCAGTCTACTCTCATCAAAAACTTTCACAGACACCAGAGCTCCTGCTGCCCATGCCGCGTAGCAGACGGAATAATTTCCGATGGTTGCCAAGGGGAGCGGCCACTCTCATCTCTGACGCACGGTACCACCAGGATTCGCAGTCTCTCTTCAGCCTAGCACACAATTTTGCCCTCAAGTCTTTGCAAGCAGCGTTGTGTTTGTTTCCAGCCAGAATGTGCCGGCGAGCATCGATAAGTTCTAGGGACTGTGAACAGACCCGATGTCTATGGTGGCTATTAAATTTACCACACAAGGATTTGCCTACTACTAATAAGGTCTGGCGAACATGCGACCAGTGACCTACAACTGCATTCAGTGAGGGCTTACCCAACCCGAATGCCAGCGCATTTCGATGCGCGTTCAGAACATCTGACTGTCAGTTGGCTGGTGTCTAGGCGCTCACAGAGTCGTCGAAGGCGTCCGCCAAAATCCACCCGCAGATCAGCGGATACAAGTGCATGGCCAGTATCCAGATATGTGCTCAAAATCATGCGACAGTTTTGGACGCAGCCTCTTCTGCGGTAACTGATGTCAAGGCAAACTTCTGCTTCACTGGATGGATCAAGTGTGACGACACAGCGCGGGCAGTTGAGTTCGCAGGGAGTGTGAACGAACGGTGAAGACCAATTGAATCACGAATGAAAATGCTCGGCCCACCGATCCCACCGTCTCTATAGGTTAGAAATCGGCGAACCATCCGCATCGCAAATAATTGCACTGACATCAGGCTCCCTGTAGACAGTGGATATAATGAGCTGGAAGAGCTTGAGAGTATTGCCAGAGAGGGCAGCGTCCTCCATTTTCGAAGCACGCTGAGATCATCAGACTTCTCGATCACTACGTAGGCTTCGTTTAAGTTGCAGGCTGACAGAACAGCGCGCTTCATCATGAGCAGACTCTACTGGGATATTGCTGCTGCGGTTAAATAAGTCCAGGGGGCGCGTGGAGATCCAGGCCTTTATAGAGTGATGAGTAAGAACACAGACTGACTGTCCGCAGCCGATTAGCCTTTTGCATGAACACCCAGTGGGTCGCAGTGGAGTGTATGGGAAAGGGAAGCTTGAATGCCTGAAGCTGGTGCTCGAGAGAAACAGTGTGAGAAGTATTTTTGTTCGTCGCAATCAGCCGACAATTCAGATTTGTCGACCAGCTGTCCTTCCATTTACAAGTAATACCAATTCGCCCGTACGGATTCCACAAAATGCTATGTCGATTCATAGCTGCCGTAACCGGGAAGTCCTGACGCCGGAAGGCCGACCGCTGTCATCTGCATGGCAGGTGCCTGCATGGCAGTGGAGGATGCGTCGGGCTATATCGCATTTAGCTAACAATTCACGATAGTCAGATACCGTCCTCCATGGCGCAGTTGCATAAGCTGCGGGCTAGTTGGCAAGAGCCACTAGCAGTCATGGGTTCGATACTCCGTAGAGGACCGAAGGATGCGCACCACTGATGAGCCCCAATAGGGCGAAACGGCCGTCTGGTGCTTTTCCGGAGAGCTGGTCGACAAATCTGAATTGTCGGCTGATTGCGACGAACAAAAATACTCACCGAAATCCTTCCATTCATAAGTGTGAGAAGTCTCTCTCCATTATGTGAGCAGTCGTCATCGAGCGCACGGTAATCAGTGAGGTGACTTTTACATGGTTACAGACGACCGACCCGTGTGTTGACATCCTACGCAAGCACAAGAATATCGGGTTCGCAAGCTCTACCCAGGAGCTTGTGAAGTTCACGATAAAAATTTGTCCTTGACCGAGTCACCACTGCAGTCATTTGGAGCGTACACTCAGATCACAGACAAGTTGCGTCTCCCCTCACAAGATCTGGTCATCTTGCATTGACACAGAAGCCGAACTGTACACTGTCGGCTATTAATCGGAAGCCAGTCCAGCAGTGCTGCCTCGGCTTTGCTACTTAGTGTTACACCAACGCTAGCCAAGCCTGCCGCGGCTGCTTCCGTGTCACCAGATAGATGCAAGTGAAATATCAAGCCGTGGTCGGTGGGAGATCTCAACCCAATCTCAATACTGGTATTTAGCAATCGGGCTTCGGAAGGACAGTAAACATCGATGGCGAGGGATTCCATGGTACGCGTAAGACTAACCTGCCTCCCGATCTGCATGAGTGTGCCTACATTAAAGCATGCCAGATGGACGGAGGACGAAGGAGTGCCACTGGGCCAGCTCTGTAGTCGTCAACAAAACCCATCGGGAGTAGAATCATGGAAACGGGAATCAGCTGGTAACGGATAAAATTTATTCGTATCAAAAGGACAAGTGGCATGTTGAGGTGGGTGAGTGACAGAAACAGATAACCACGGTACAGCGGAAGAACGATCCATGGCAATTCACCACGTACATGAAGACGCGGACGTACACAAACCCGTAGATTTGCAACGATATGATTGGTAATGGAAGCACACCTGCCAAATTACGCTCCATATCACAAGTGAGTAATCTGACAATAGAACAGGGAGTTCAACGTCTCACAATTTGATAGGACTCGATTGAGAATTCATAGGACGAATTCGAATACAAATCGATTTCGTGAAAGCTTTACACATGTTTTAACAAAACCGAGACTTCTTCGTCAACTTAACACAGCTATGCTATGGTGTAGGGATTTAGTATGGCGCACGGTCCATCAAATCAAGCATCAAGGTTCATCGAAACAGGGCTATGCATTCAATGACTGTGACTGTGAGCAGCCGGACATTGATGCTCCGACTCGGTTGGAATATATGCAGATTTTAAACCTCGAGTCGTGGATCCCAAGAAGCAGGTGGATGGTAGAGCACCGTTCGAATGTCACCACCGAAGAGCAGCTTGTAGCTAGTGGTTCGGCTGTCCGGCCTGCATCCTGTACCGCCTCAAGTTCGAGTCCCTGCAGTTTGGGTGTTCCTGCAGCATCCTAACCGGCGTGTATGAGCTTCGCGGCTGCAGTGCAGTGAGATGTTAGTATCATGTTCAGGATGATATGTGTGCACAACAGTGGGGAGCATGGCCAACCTCACAGGCGATAGCTATGGCTCAGTAGAATAGGACAAGGGAAGTGGGTTTCTGCGTCCCCACATAGATGAGTTCAAGAAGCAGGAGTTAGTGAAAGAGAAAATGTGGTAATCTCTTCAATCAGCGTGCGGAGATGAAGGCGTGTGTATGGACCAGTCGCTGATGAAAGTGATCGAAGTAACATGTGCCGTTGATGTGCTATGCATGTTGCACAAGACTCTACCAGATGTGCACCGGTTACTATAGTGGTTCTAGGCATGGCTGTATAGGAGTAATTTAGCCGAGTGCACATTGTCGCTGGTGTATAACATGCAACAGTTCCTTAGCCAAACAGTACAATCACTCCAAAAGTTTAATGGAAACATGTATCTGGATGTATTTTCCAAGCGTCTCACTGTCCCTCTCAAGGCGATTTTTGTGTCCGCACAACATGCAGCTGTGTAGACCATGAGGATGCCTTTAGGCGCAGCGGACAGTCGATACATCTGGTGACCTAATTCCACAGCAGCATTCGGACGGTCGGCTAATGTAACAAACTCGAGCTAGCGAACAGAGTAGAAGGTGATTGGTGAGTGACTGTACGTGACAAAACCCCCGGAGAAAAGCACGATAACTCAGTTAAATACAGGCGCACAACACCGCTTTCAGAAGAGAGAGAGGAATGAGAGTCAAATTAAACTGCATCACGTCCCTACATCACAGGTATAGTTCACTTTGATTGCAACGAAGAGGAGAATAGAGTGAGAAACAGGAAAAACAGCAGTCAAATACTACGATGAAAGAAGTTCAGACTGAAGAGTAAGTGAGAAATGAAGGGACAGTTCAAATGGGAATGAGTGCGGATAAGCAGGAACAAACATGTGCACCCTGTGGGGCGAAGGAAACCGCTCAAAAGAACGAGCAACAGTGAATGGGCACTGGCCATGATGGTTTTGACGAGGGAAGATGCGTACAGAAGTGACGAACCGTAAGGATACGAGGCAGAACAATTCCGTGCATTTCTCAAAGCTTATGCAATAGACGCCAAAATAACAGGTCCGAAGGGAAACTAAACAGAGAGTAAGCTCATAAAGTAAGAAAATGAGTCCACATTGATAGCAGTTTTTCGCAATAGCAAGGTACCTCGGTCGTCTGGCGACCCTACTGCTAATGCCAGCTAGGGTGCAAAAAGGCATTAGTCAAGTGGTTTGTGTTGATAAGTAAGCCAGTCTGCCCAATTTTCCCACGGTGCAACACTAACACAGAGGAAAAAAGGCATCAGCAGCATGCCGCACAGCCGCATCGCTGTCATGAAATCGCCACTAGTCGCGCGCTGGCGAAGGATACTGCGAGGGTCGTCCGGTCCCCTACAAAGACTCGAACCCGCGACCTCCAGGCTTCAAGTCAGGCACATTGTTCTTTTGGCCACGGGCCGGCATAACAGACGTTTAGTCGTAAGATCCATTGGACTGTAAAACACCTTTACGGAAGCGATTAATAAGAGCATGTGCAGAACTCACAGAACGGTGAAAAATCCCTTGATTGCCGAGAACCAAATAACGTCTACCGTCAAGAGACCCACGAAGAACAGTATATCGATATGCGCTTTGGTCGGGCACAGCAAATAGGCCTGTAAAAATCCGGGTAAGTGGAAAAAGAAACTGGTCACAAGGAACACTGTGCAGATGAGCTGGAACTGAGTTTATACTTATATGTTTCCAGCACAGTGAAGCATCCAATCTATAGATTAATTCAGAAATCGGCAGACTGAAAGAAACTATCGCGTGATGACTCTCTGACTTTTCGTTGAAAAAGTAGAGGCGTGCAAAAAAATAAAAAATACACATCAAGCACAGAATTAAGAACCGAAGTACCGTACACAGTTGACGGAAGTTGTACCAAGTCTAGCAACGGCCATATCGGCCGATAGCTACCAGAGGAAGGCACTGGAGTCGCACACGGCAAGAACCATCGATTACGTCTAATGTCCATCGCCATGAGACTGGACCTTAACGCGGTGTGATGGTTTGTGTGCCCCAGTGATCCATTGAGCTATGCTGGATGGTGCTTTTTGCACCTCCAGAGCCACTCATACCAGATTGGTCAAAGGTTAGAGACCAGACAAACTCAGTCTCCCGAGCCTTCAGGTTGCGGGTTGGAGTGAGGGTGGCTGCCTACTACATAAAAAGGACTTTCTGTAGCCCAGTGCCAAAACCCCGCTGCCTCGTAGTCAGAGTTTGAACCAAAGGCTTTGGTTGAGAACCCTAATCGTTCTCCTGTCTAACTTTGGGCGACCTTGCAGTATCCTGCCAGCGCAACACAATACATTGTCTTTTTCTTCCAACATTCTCATGATGCTCTGGTCGTCGCAGAGGGTAATAAATGACGCTCTATTTGCCGCTGATGCTCAGGCCTTCAGGTCTTCTCTTTCCCTCTCTTGCGCCTTTTCAGCCTTAACGTCCAGCTCCAATCTCACTTTATCGCCCTTGTTTGCAATTCCCCAATTCTTGATCCTCCCCCATCTTGGTTCAATATTCGTTTATCTTTTAGTTTCGACTCAGCAATCGCAGGGCGTCGCCCCAGTCCGTGGACAACCGAGCGAATAAGGTCAGTATATCCGTTTCCCTGAAGTCCTCGATTCTCGCTAAGATTGGCATGCCTCAACGTGCGCACTTTGCTACAGATGGGCAAACAAGCAGCAGTTTCCTGAACACTAGTGACCCTATCGATCGATATTTTCTGTTTATTGGAAATCCGTCTGCAAGATTCGAGCACCGTGCTTACGTTGCGATCTTCCGCATGAGACACTGGCGGTACATTCTCATTGTGTCCCTCTTGAGATTACGCAGCTTCAAGTGCCGATCAAGCTGGCGTCGGTGTTGTTTTGAGTCCCTGGGCTTGGGCTGCCCTGCTCAGTTGGATCCCAGTTAACAGCCGGATGCGCGCCGTTAGGTTGGCTGGCTCCTTCCAGGCTTCGAAGTCGCGGTGGGACAAACGGTGTCTGTTTGTCATTGCAGCCTACTCCCCCACAAATTGCAGAACTCATTCGGTGATAGATGCTTTCTATCACCAAATTAGCGATGTCCTTCGTAGCAGAAAAACACAGATACCGTGGTGCTTGCTGATGATCTAAACGCCCAAGTCGGAAAATTATCCTCTGATAAGCTTCATCTGAGCGGCCAACATGGCCTAGGCTCCCGCAATGAAAACGGTGAGCGGTTGCTACATCTGTGTGAAGATGCTCGTCTCTTTCTCGAGAGCACTAACTTTCGACATAGCACCCGCAGAGGAGTGACTTGGCGCTCAGCAGCCTTTGGTCAGCCATAGACGCAAATCGATCGCGTCGCGATTAGTTACCACCAGAAAGGTTGTATCCAAAACTGTCGCTCGATTTGGAGCACAAGCATGGACTCCGATCACGTTCTCGTGTGTGTGCCGACCTTCGGGTACGTTTCGGCGGACGTCCACACTGTCGCTCTGAGCACATTGAGACCGGCCAGCTGATGAAGCCAGGTGTTCTGAATGCGTATCAAACTACGCTGGCATATGGGCTGAACACCGACGAAGATCATTGGTCGCATACTCGACAAACGTTACTATCAGTAGGCAGGTATTCACGTGGCAAATCAAATCAAATTACCAGCCTAAACATTAGGGCACTACAAAGTTTCTGGAACTTAGGGATGCTCGCCGACGTATTCCGGCTGGAAGCGAATACAATAAGACTCGGAAAAATCCCAGGTCAAAACCGTGTGCTAGTCTGAAGAGAGACCGCGAAGCCCGATGGTCTCATCGTGCGTCGGAAGTGGAAACATACGCTGCCGTTGGTAATCATCGCAAGTTATTTCCGTCTGATATGGGAAATAGGCGGCAGGAAACTTGGTGTTAGCAAGACAATACGCGACAAGAGTGGACAACCGATCCACAGCTTGCCAAAAGGCTTTTAGCGTTGGGCCGAACACTGAAGGCAATTTAACCAATCTGAGTTATCGCTTTCTCTTTCGAGCATTGAGTACCCTTCTCCATGTGCCGTCTCCTTGGACCCGCCTTCACGCGCAGTAGTCGAAGGTGGGCTCAAACTGTTGAAATTGCATAAGGCCGCTGGTCCAGACAGAATTCCCCCAGCTTTCTACAAATTCGGAGGACCTGCTTTTGTGGATGCTTTACACGAGTTGCTAATGGAACTTTGAGAGCAGGAAACTGTCCCGACAGACTGGAGCTGCTCCGTCATAGTCCCAATTTTCAAGGGAGGCTCCTGTCCGGGATGTGGCAACCGTAGATGGACCAGTCTGATCTCAATTGCCTCTAAATAGCTGACCTCTGTCGTTCTCCACAGATTTACTGGGGTTAATGAAAGCAAGATCCGCAAAGAACAAGCTAGGGTTTCGTCGAAATCGTGGCTGCATCGATCACAACTCACTTTGCGTCAATAGTTGGAGCACCGAAACGGTTACTGGCGACCCATCGTCGTCGTATTTCTCGACATAATAAGTGTCTTCGATTCAGTCGATCGATGTGAGCATTGGGACTGTCTGCTGAGGAATGGTGTGCCCGATACATATGTAAACATTATCAGAGAGCTGTACGCGCATAGTTTGGGCAGGGTGAGGCTTTATGGCAAACTATCGATGCCCTTCAATATCACCAGCGGTGTGAGGCAATGTTGCCCGCTGTCAACTTTCCTCTTTAACTGTGCAGTTGACGACGTCATGGAAACAAAATGTGCTGGACACGACTTAAAAATTTGGAGTTACATGTGTGGAGCTACATCCTGGTGAGCGACTTCCTGACTTGGAGTATGCGGACGATATTGCCCTAAGCTGTGACAACTCCCAAACATGCCAAGCAGCACTGGACTGATTAGAACTGGCTGTTTAACCGTTTTGCGCTATGCTTTGCTCCATCGAAGTGCAAGATTCTTCTCCAATATTAGCAGGGACCCATCCCTGCGCTGACACTTGGTGGTGATCAGCTAGAAGTCGTTCAGAAATTCAAGTATCTGGGCAGCTATATTAGCACCCGTAGGATGGAAGCCGAGATTACGAACCGTATAGCTAAAGCTCGAGGTGCTTTTGCCAATCTCCGCCACCTGTGCCACAGACGCGACATCACTCTCTCCCTGAAAGGTAACGTGTATAATGCAGTCGTCCGTTCAACCCTCCTATATGGTGGTGAAACCTTGCTGAGACAATACAGTAAAATAACGTTGAAGATCCAAGCGAGTTAAAAGACATGGTAATCAGCCATCAAAGTGTGCCCTGCTGTTGACGAACATACGGTGATAACGGTTCTTCAGTCGCACAGACTGCTTCCCAATGCTTGCGTAACGCTTGACGGTTTAAGTGCGAGACTGCAGCTTTTCCAACTACATAAAATTGAACCTTGTTCGGGATCGACCACAATCAAGAGCAGAACAAGTAAACAGGTGTAAACAAGCGTGGATGTCAGGTTGCAATACGTACGAAGAAATTAGTGATTTGCGAGCTACCAAGTTTAGGGGATACACGGACGCGTTCAGCTGGACCAAATAATTCGCGAAGGGAGATCTTAAATATTCTACCAGACAGATGCTGATAGACGATGATCCAACCTTCCTGACAACCTTCACAACACCACTCGAATGATTAGACAAACTTCGTCTACCATTTGAACAGAGCAAGTTCAAAGTTCAAAAGCGATCAACACAACGGTGGATGATCTCGTCGTCTCGTCGCGGAGTTGTACGCTATCGGGCACGTCCACAGATTACGGAATGGGGATAGCCTTCATGGTATGGGAACTGCGAATAAATCCTGTTTATTTTGCAAGTGTGATGAATAAGCACTTATGAACAATCAGCGGCAACGTCTCAGAGCGTGGGGAGTTCTGGGCTGGTCATCTGGTTTTCCACCAAATACCACAAGAGCTCGTATGCATTGTCAAAGTCAATATGACCGGCTATAGGGCGACTGACCACTCACTTCTGGTTACAGGAGTGAGTACCTAACGGAGGGTGAATGAACAACCTTGCTGGCCACCTGCTTCTGCGTGAACTGTTACCGAACACTAAAGTGAATGAGCCACCTGGCTGTCCACGATCTTCTATTCACGGCTGGTTGGACGTTCCAGCGAAATACCTTAATGTCCCCGCTGGCTTGTGGGTAAGATCTTTAAGACCAAAGGCTCTGGTCGGTGTCCCTAAAGTTAACCCACTTCCTCAGCTTGAGCAACCGAAAAAGGTTCTGCACACAACAGAAATTTTCGTATCCCTTCCATTTACTGCCTTTGCTCCTCTTCGATTTGTGGTTATCATGTGTTGCGACACTCTGCCAATTGTTAATTGGTAAAATTTGATATGGTTGGCGGCATCCGGTTTCGGATTTGCCTGTCACTGTGGTAAGCCACAGTACGCCCGCGCCTACAAGGAACCACGGATGGCTTGCGCTGCACCACCCACAGCTCCAACCACACACCCCATACCCAGTGTAAACCCGAAGAAATAAGACCGGGAGGCATGCGGATGGGAACCACGTTTCATCAACGGAGCCGGCCCACACTCCTTCACAGGCAAACACAAGCACGTTGTATTTGGGAATCAATCGCACACAACGCGGTGGCTGGACCGTAGTCCGCTCCACACTGAGTGCATGG